CCACGATGAGAGAATTTGTGCCGAAGCCCGTTTTGTAATCCACGTGGTTTTCTGAAGGACAGGACAAGTGTCAGGTTTTACAGTCTCAAAGGGGTTCACCACTGGGCCCGAACAACCACGTGGAAAAGAGGACCCACACGGCAGGCCTTTGGGTGGGGGAATCCTGGGGGGGCCAGGAGCCCAAGAACCCTAGAGACTGAGAGCATGTGAGCCCAGAGGCTGTGCACCCCTCTAGGTCCAGAGCTGGTTTATGCGCCCCAGCAGGGCAGGGGACCCTCCCTGTGTATATGCCTCTAACCAGGAGCAGGGTAAGAGAGAATCCCAGAGTGCACCCTGCCTCTTTTCTAGCCAGCCCCTGGCTAGGGAAGGCATGCTTGATGGTATTGGTTAGGCCCACCTGGGTGATGTCAGGAGCCTGGTCCTAGTTTGGCCTGCCAAGGTGTGCCTCCTACCTGGCTGGGGGCTTGAGTTTGCGCATGCTCAGTTTGGGGTCTTCATAGGTGTCTAATGGTTGCCTGATTTCTTTCCAACCTCCTCTATGGGGGCTTTTACAGTCATGGAAGGGACAACCCCCTGTCCCTAAGCTAGCTACCTAACAATTTCTCTTCTCTCCATTCTGCTTACTAGCCTGCATGTAATACCTTTATATCACAGTGGAGATTGACCCACGGTACGCCCTTTGCTAATCCCACCCAATTCATAGAACGCAGGCGATTGAAACCACAGGCATAGCGGTTAGGTTTTAATAGCACCTATTTTTGGAGACGTCATTCACTCCATTAAAATCTGCCCATTTGTCCTCCAAAACCCATGCGGTTGCTCATCCATAATACCATCTAAAAGTTGTAAATAAACTCCCAAGTCCAAAATCTTATCTCTGAATCACCAGTGACAAATATGGGTGAGCGCTGGGCATATTTTGTTTCATGGCAAGTTCCTTTCCATTTGCAAACCTGTGAGATAAAAGTTAACAAGATATCTGATTCCAAAGGACCGTGATCGAACAGGCACAAGATAGATATTCCCACTACAAATGTGCGAGGTTGGAGGGAGAGAAAGGCTAATGGAGAAGTCCCAAACCCAGCAGAACAATGTACATGAACTCTCTAGGTTTGCAAATGATCTTCTGTTCTTGAAGACCATCTGGATCATGACCTTGCCCTCTAGAGTGTGAGTGTGGACCTCACTCCCTCCTGGATCCTGGGAGGCAGCCTCTTGGCTCTGGGGTTACTTAAGCTACGCTCTCCAGGCCCGCTGGGATGCCAACCCTGCTCTCTAGAGTTTAGGCCGGCCCATTCATTCTCTTAGTCCACGAGTGGTGACCCCTCCCCTTAGTCCTGTCAGAACTTGTTCTTTTGCCCCAGGGACAGGGCATTCTTACCCCCTCAACCAGCTTTGGGCAGTGATCCTCACCCCCCAGTCAGGAATCAAGTTGGTGAAGATACAGCTCTTCGAAACTGAGGAGGTGCTGCCTCTCCTTGGACATGGAGAAGGTCTGCCTTTCTTCCTCGGCCCACCAGTGCCGGGGATGTCCAAGCTGCTCTAGGGAAGAGACTCTGTTCTTCCGCTTCTTCTCCTGTCCTTTCCTCTTTGGGGGGGACCAGGGCCATAACTCCCTTGGCCTAGTTCTGGCCTGTACAATTCCAAGAGGCCAGCAGAGTTTCTTCCTTCTTTTCCTGCCCCGTCACCTAAGCTGATGGGTGTCGTGCTTTGATAGTTGGTCAGAAAAGACTGTCATCGCATCCTTGGTGAACACTGTAGGACCTGCGTCCTAGTTTGTGCAGTAGGTTTTTGTTTTGTTCGTATGGAATCTTTTAGGTTCTAGTTTCATTTTACAAAGTTCATTTTAAGTCCATTTTTACTCTCCTGTCACATTTTACCGTCAGAAGGAAAGAAAGGCCATTAAGAAATCTCATCGTGACGTATCTAGGTTCGTCACTTAAAAGGGCTGCCTTCCACCCAGCATTCAAACATCGTTCATCCAAGTTCTCTGCCTCAGTGGAGAACGCTCCACTCGTCCTGCACTGAGTTATCGTGTGTTTCTTTCCAAGCCTGACAGGAAACACGGAGAATATGCACATTTCTAGGGAGGCTCTGGTGCCGGATGTCTTGGGTTCTCCGAGACTGTACAGACTCTCTAGTGCACCTCAGCCTCCTCCTGAGCCCTGCCCGGAATTGTCTTTGATGGCTGTAATTCCACTGAAAGACTTCTCAAGGCAGTCTAGGCCTTTACTTTTAGGCACTTTAAAAGTCTTCCTGCCTGCACTCAATTACCCCATTTCAAAACCACTTCCACAGTTTAGGTTAGAGCAGCACCCCGTTCCTCCTCTGATGAATTCTGTCTTGATTATTGGGTGCTGCTCTAACGGAACTGCCCCAAACGGGGGGCTCTAACACAGAGAAACCGTCGGAGCAGCTGCTGAGGCTGGAGGCTGGATCAGAGCTGCAGCTCCAGGGGAAGACTCCCTCCTCCCTCCAAGAAGGGCCTTGTCTCTGCGCTTCCTGTGCCTCACCAGTCTTTACTGGCCTGATAGCTAAAGCTCTTCCTCCTCGTCGCTGGCCAGCGCTTTTCATCTCTTTTCTAGCTCAAAAGGCATTGACTCAAAAACACCCACTCATTCTATTTTATTAACATGACAAAGACAATACATTCCAAAACTAGAGTCCTTCCCAAGGCATTGGGATTTACAGCCTTGTTTTTTAGTGGGTTGGGGGTGGGGGGCAGAGTGGACACACTTCAATCTATATCCTGGAAGTGCTTTTGCATGTTTGATAACGTTCTAGAAGACTGGACTATAAGCTCTACTAGGTAGAGCAGTGCTATCTCTCCAAATGCTTATCATCTCTCTTGAGCAAAGTTGCCCTCAACAAATAGCTGTTGCTGAACTGAGTGAGGACTGCTGGTAATACCACCTGCATGACCCTTTGACTTTGTTTCAAGTAGATCGTCCATGAGCCTTAGGAGCGTAAGGTGCCCGCCTTCACAATTTGCCTGCCAAGCTGTCAAACCTGTAAGCATGCCTTCAGGTTTAAAAGTCTAGTTAGGGGTGAGTGGGAGTCAAATTTGAAGTTTACATTTACAACCCTGTATTCATTGTAGTGGTGGTGTTCTAAGTGGATGAGGCTTGTTAGGGTAATTGGCCTGCTGCTGACATAGGCACTGACTCAGCAGCAAACTCTTAGCTGCTCTGGAAAACACAGCCCAAGGATTGCAGAAGATGATCAGTCAATAGGATCATTGTCAAATTAAACAAAGAGCCTATGTGAGTTGAAACCATCCTAGGAATCTCCCCCCATGTACTGAGATTCTGTATCATGGTGTTCTGCTGCTTTAAATTACATAGATTATAAATTATCTTTTAAACTCAGTAAATAGCTAATTTATATATTTCTGATGATTTAGCTTAACTTCATTTATAAAATAAAATTTTTAATAATTTTCAAGATATAGTGTCTTGTTTCCTTATTACTGAATTTCCACGTGTGTGTATCCATGAAACATTGTGCTGTCAACTGCCACTGAGTCAGTTCTGACACGGTGATCTCATGTACACTAGGTCCTACTCTGCCCTAGCCCTTTGTACAGTGCAGAACTTCAACACCATGATTCCTGTTTTTTACAAGTATGTGTACCAAAATGTTTTATCATTCAACGATATCGGTACAAGAGAATTCTATAGACAAGAAACACTGTTCATTTGAGGATAAGTCCCCACACATGGCTATCAGAGTTCTAGTTCATACACACAGGGTGTTATTTTTTGTTATGTCAGTGTTTAAGCCTGTCTCTATGTTCAGTGGAAGGCTGCAGACAAATTCTCTCAGTGATGCACTGGTCTTAGTCTCCTTAGGGTGTCTTCCCCCCCAAAAAAGATCTAATCAAAACAGTGATTTGCAGAGGATCTAAGCTAGTTAGAGTCAAGGCACAAAGCAGGGAGGTCAACTCAGGAAGTTATGGTGACTATATTTTTGAGATTCCAAAGGATAATCTTGATAGATTTTTCTCCAAGGACACAGGATGCTCACATTGCCTACTATGAGAAGTTTTAAGAAAGTTGAAAACTGGGTGGGTGAGATAGAGGGCCAGGAATGTTGACCATGGATTTATTTCCCATCTTGACAATGCACCTGCTCATTCCTCTAGGGCACCACGGATTATCCTGGGAGAATTTCAGTGGACAAATATACTCCATCAAGCCAACAGCCCTGATTGTGCCCAATAAAATTCTTCTTGTGCCCCCCAAATCATAAAACATTTAAAAGGGATACAACTGACCTTTAAAGATGCCAAACCTGCCAGTTTTACATGTAATTCAGAGAGCACAGAGTCCACTGAGAGCCAAAGCGAAGAAAACACTGCCTTCAGAAATGTGTAGAGCTAGGTAGAGGACATATCCAGAATTTATAGCTACACATCTTTATAGTTTTGTTTAATAAACATTTCTGCAGTTTTATAGAAATACTTTTTGACTTACCCTCAAGTAAGTGTGTCTAGTTTTGGGGGTTTTTTCCTCTTCTTTCTTTCTTTTTTAAAATATTGTTTAACCTTTATTGAAAAATGAGATTGAGGAAGTTTTTCATTATCCGTTTTCCTCTTTTGAGAAAAGCTATATTCCCAGGCTTGTTTGGATTAAATCAACTCAGTAAGACCAGATCTTGTAAAAGTGTCATGGTTTCTCTGAGGGGATGCTGGCGGTCCAGAGGGAGACACCATTATTTATTGTTTCCCATTTTCCTAGTGTGTTTAGGAATAATCCGTTTAAAGTCAGACCACTCTTAAAAATCTCTACCGTTGCCAGCATATATGGACATCGTGGGATTGCTTTACATTTAGCAAGACTGAGGAAGTTTGTTGCTTTCAAACGCATTCCGCCATTAACGGTCACAGTTTAGAATTCAGTAAACCCTGAAGTAGAGTCATTAGAAGTCAAACTGTGTTTTGCTTCTCTGTTATCACCAAGAACAACTGAATTTTGAACCCCTAAAAAACTCTCTTCTAGCTGCTTTCGAAATCTATTGAACAACTGAAGCAACCAGGCAGTCACCTGGAGGAAGCAGAGGAAGAGCTTCAAGGGGACCAGGCGATGCAGGAAGACAGAGCGCCCTCTAGTGGCAACAGCACTAGGAGCGACAGCATTGCTTGTGTGGATGACACACTGGGACAAGTTGGGGCTGTGAAGGTCAAGGAGGAACCAGTGGACAGTGACGAAGATGCTCAGATCCAGGAAATGGAATCTGGGGAGCAGGCTGCTTTTATGCAACAGGTAATAGGCAAAGATTTGGCTCCAGGATTTGTAATTAAAGTCATTATCTGAACATGAAGTGAATCGTAGGTTTTAGTAAGTGGATACTACGTCCTATCAGTTTATAGCTCTGGATGATTTGTTTTTAGCGTTTAAGGATTCTAAGACAGACATGTGACAAATATGTCTCTCAATATGAAGATCTCTATACAGACATCAAAGTTGCATTGACCCTCTGTTGTTGGGCGCCAACAAGTCCATTTGGACTCAGTATGGCCCGATGTGACAGTATAGAACTCCTCATCGGGTTTCCTAGGCTGTAATCTTTATGGGAGCTGGTCCCGGAGTCTTTGCTCCTGCAGAGCCTCTGAGTGCGTTTGAACTGCAGACCTTTTGGTTGGCAGTCGAGCGCTTAGCCATTGCGCCATCAGGGCTTCGTAATGAGACTCTACTGGTAAGGAAATACCTGTTACACTAAAGGTATGCTACATAAGTGTCCAAGTCATTCGTAGGCTTTCTCTTCATCCCGAAGGCTGCCACGCCAATTACTTCTAAGGAGAACCAAACTCCAAGGTTGTTTTTGTTTATCTGTTAGGTCATTGACTGCTGGATAGAATTTCCCAGTCTGATCAATGAAGCATTTTATTAGTTTTGATTTTGAGGGACAGGTCAAATGCAGTTTTCATAGCCCTGTACATAATGTATCATACTACAGTCTTGAACACTGTTGAAGATAGTCTGCCCCTCCCTTCCTCTCTCTCTTTTTGTTAAGTGGACATGTGCTGGTGGCCGGGCCAGTAGTCAGTTTAGGTTTGTGTGTAGCTTGCAACTGAGACTCTTAGGAATAGAGGTGGTTTAAAAACACAGAGACTCAACTTGCAGCACTGTTTTCAATATTATATTTAAGTTTCACTCTGCTCAATTTATTTTAGCCTTGTGTTGTTTGATGACATTGTCGATCGATAAAGATCAAATGGAGCAGATGCCAATATTGGCGAGGTGTGATATGCAGAACTGTGGTCCAATCAGATACTATATTTTATCTGAAAGTGCGAAAAACACAGCAACAATATGATTATTATCTGAGATGAATTTTTTTTTTAAAAAAGCACTTTTAAAAGAAGGTGTATCACATTTTATGAGTCCTATCACTAGTACAATTTCACAACAACACAGCATGTAACCGACTATTTTGGCAAATTAAAAAAAATGGAGAGACAGGTTTAATAAAAGAACCTACTTGTATATAACACACCTTCATAAGGACTATGTCTTTTGATGCCGTTAAATCCAAACAACTTTAAAGGCAACAGAAGACAATGTTTGTTTAAGTCAGTTCTTTGTCAGGTTCCTGCTGTTCTCCTACAGAAAAGTGATTCTACAAGGCTGAACAGGAAATGCCTTGTGGAAACAGGAAGTCCAAGTGATTCATGTACTGAGGAATGTAGGGGGGGAAAAATCTGAGCATAGCGTTTTACTCTTTATGGTTCTAAAGGGCACTCTATGAATTGATTGATTGTCTAAGAAAATAACACCACAAGTAGGGAAATTGTTAAGGAAGTTTTTCACTGGAACATTTCCTTCATATTCCTTTTGATGTTTACCTTGGTTTATAGGTTTACTTTTGTTAAGCTAGTTAAAGATTCATTGTATTCCACCCCCTTTAATATAGATAAGCCAAACTGACCTAGAATCTTTGTGAGTTTTTTTCTATCAAAATATATATATATATATTTCTAAATCTGAGGTATTTTAAGGTGTAGTATCCTGTTTCAGAGGAGATAGAGTGGTGTTTGCCAAATGTAGTCATTATTCAGCTGTATGTTACTGGCACATGTTGTTTACATTTTTCTGTGACATTTTAAAATATTTCTTAAAAATGTGACTGCTAAAGATACATTATCCTTTTTTAAAAAGTCTCCATGCAAATTAAAGTAACATAACTAGAAGTTATAAATTTTAAAACTTTTCCATATAATGAAAGTCCTTCTGATAAACTGACAAATAGCTCTAATAAGCAACACACTCTATCACCAATATATTTTGGTCAGTATATACCTTCTTATTAAAATGACTTTTTGTCTGTTGTTTTGCATTAAAAATATGGCATACCTAAGATAAAATTGTATATTTTTCCATTTCCCAAATATTCATTTTCCTTCAAAATCTTATTTCAATTTCATTAAAAAAAGGGATAGTGCATCTTTTAAAATACATTTTATTTGGGGAGGAACATGTGGCTGAGCAGACTTTTGTATAATATCTCTTCCAAGATATGTAATCACAAACAGAAAAAACCTATTTTTGATAATGTCATTTGAAAGAGCTTCATCAGTACAGTTGGTGGACTTGAATTGTTTGATTTGATAAGTTTTTGACTTTAATCAAGAAACTACCTGGAACCAGTGAAAAGGAAAGCTGGCCTCAAATAATCTTAGATCTAAATGATAAGTGTCTCTTACTTTACAAAATCTACTGTATTTATTATTATTTACACCCTTGAAGGTGATCTCTTGTTTTGTGTTGTAAATATATTGTCTGTATGTTTCTCTTTTTGCCTTCTGTTATAAGTCTCTTCCTTTCTCAAATAAAGTTTTTTTTAAAAGATCCCTTTTCAGACATTTGGCTTTGTGTAAACTTGATATATTTAACTGAAGTTGAAACTTGTCCACTAGGTCACGTACACCAAAATATATTGCCATTCTTTGTTGAAACAAAATAAAAATACAGATATTTTGAGCAGTTCCTTTTAATACCACTAATAATAATAATTTTAACAATAATGATTTTAAACCATTCTCACCAGACACCGTTAAATCGCAAACACGTAAAATGTAAAATGTGCAGCATTTTCATTTTCCCAGAGTGGCCTTTTTTTATGAAATGCTATCATCTTTGCTATTTAAATGAAAATATCCGTTTCTAAACATAAGATTTTATATAAACATATGTCAGTTATTAACTCTGTCTCTCTTTTAAAATTACTTTTTAAAAAGCTTATCATAATCCCTTGTATATAATAAGCACTCAATAAATATTAGAATGAATAACTTTCCATGTATCCACGTTAGTTACATCTTTTACAATGAGATAAAGGGAAAGGACATACATTTAAAGAGAAATGAAATCATCTCCCCTTATCTGCTAATGACTACTTAATACTAATGAGAAACCCTCAGGAACACAACTCCGGGCCAAGTGGACTGTCGCATATATGTTGCACATCACAGCACTCTTGGCTTCTCTTTGACCTGTTACTAGTAAGGGCGATCAGTGTATCCTTCATAATGGTTTATTTTCCTTCTGTTCTAGAGAATAATTGTTCTATATTTGCTGATGAGCCTAACCTACATGTTCATTGTGCCATATTATTAAGCCAATTTAAATCCACACCACGCTTACATTCGAATGTTAGTAGTTTGGCAGATGTCATACATAATGATAAGTATAAAATAAATAATTCCATAAATGCCAAAATGCAAAAATTTGGGTAGAATTTTAGAAATATTATTAATGCCACTCAACATTTCCTGAAATTCATTCTTGGGCAATAAAACTACAAGGGTAACTTTTAAAGTAGCTAGGGAAAGCAATCAGATAATTGCTTTATACCATATAGCTGATTTCCAATTGGACTGTTTTGATAAGAAGAATCAATTATTATAAACTTTTTTTTCCTCAAAAAATAGTCTTGCTAGGGTTTGTAATAAATAATGTATGTATGTTATTCTGGCAATACAAAGTCACTTTTTGTCAAAGAAAAGGGTTGGGGAAGTGCAGGTTTTTACTTTTCAGAGGTCCAGGATAACTCAAAAAACAAAAAAACAAACCGAAAAACGCCCACACTCGCTACATGGACTAGACCATCAAGTATTCCAATTCACAGCAACCCACTAGGACAGGTTCGCTCCGCCCTGTGGATTTCCAGACGGTAACTCTTTACAGGAGTCGAAAAGCCTTGCCTTTCTTGGTGGGGCTGGTGATTTTGAACTGCTGACCTTGCAACTAGCAGCCCAAGGCATAGTCACTACACTGCCAGGGCTCCTTGGTCTGAAATCGGCCCAGACCTACTCCCTATCCCACAAAGAATGTTGAAAAAATATTCACACATGATTTCTCTTTTTAATTAAACAGTACTCTAGAGATACATAGGTAGACAATATAATTTTTTAATTTGGCATGTCTGTGATTTTTAAAATAATTTTGACATAATTGTGATGACTGTAGTAGGCATAGAATATGGCTGTGCAGTGATGGGCTCATATTAAAATAGTTAAGGTTTAAAATATGAAGAAACTAATCAGAAACTTAGATGATAGAGAAGGGCACATTTGAGAGGTAGATTGTCATTTATTTTATTATTCCTTCTTCTCTGTTTTAAAGATATAGTACAGAGGACACTTCAAGGTCTTCGGTGAATAAAGTAGGTACTGGCAAGAAGAAGCGACTTATTTAGATGGCGCATGGTTTTTATTCTCCAGTTATATCTCATTTTATTAAAACTGCTTTGAGGCCGGTGCACAGTTGGGTTTAGACAATGAACCTTTATCCATCCTGACTTACAAAAGGGCTTCTGCTTTTAATGGTTGCTGTTAAGCAATGAACCAGGCACTGTTGAAAGCACGTTTGTCTGTGAACTCCGTTAGGCCTCATAACAACCTTCTAAGGTGGGTAGTGGTTTTTTCTGTTGTAGAGACAAGAGAACAGGAACCCAGAAAAATCCAGTAAGGCCAAGGTCACTGAGCTCATAGCCATCCAGCTCTGATTCGTCCCCAGGCAGCCACCTTTTCTTCAGCCTCGAGCACTGGGCTGTGACGAAAAAGCAGGACACCGCCCTTCTCTTTGCGTGCTTACCGGGTCAGGACTCTCCAGGTCCACGCAAGTCTTAAGGCTTGAGTTGCTTCTCTTCCCACCAGTTTTAACCAACCTCTTCCAATCAAGTCTCTTTCTGAAACTGTGCTGTGCCTGATGAGAATAAGATTGTTTCTAGTTGACAGATGAGCGGTCACATTCTGGCCCGC